AGTTTTTCCTCCCATAGTTTCAAGAAGTTCTCTGGTATGACTCTTAAGTTATGTAAAAGAACCAGTGTAGACACAATTGACAAAACAAATGGTATAATTTTTTCCAAATTATTATTAATGTATTGATTCGAGTTTCTCAATTTATTTATTTATATCTATAGAAAGTTTCAATATACCCTATTACACATAATTCATTTACAATATCTTCGACTTGATCTGCCCAAGTTGTTTTTATTGCATACCTATAAATGATTTTCAAATGTCTTTTTTTCTTCATTTAACGCAAAAGAATGAACATAACCACATAAAATGATGACAACGATGCTTGTAATTAAGCCGATAATAATAGTTACAATTAATTTTTTACCTTCAATAATCCATTGTTTCATTATTTTCTTTGTCCATCGATAAAAGCGTGCACGTTTTGAAGTATCATTTTTTAGAAATTCATAGTTATCATCCGATGATATATTGTATCCACAGAGTACACTTAATGGATCTTTGATGTTTCGAGACAGATTTCCTGATAAGAATAGAAATATCATGACTAGTTCAACACATGCCACCGAAGTGACATAAAATATGTCATCATAGTGAAGAATAAAATCGGTACTAAAAAACGATAACTGTAATAACGAATAAAGCAAAAAAACAGGACAACGTATATATCGTACCAATAATAATTGATGAATAATGAACTAGTAGAAATTTAGTCAAGAAGAAATGACTATTGATATTCATTTGAAGAGAACAAGGTAGATCTGTAGCATTAGAACAACCACCAGCTGAAGTTCTTTTAAATTTAGCTAAACAAGCATAAGTAAACGAGTAAGATTTATCTTGAACATGATAATGTGAGATATATAATTCTTCATAGATAAAACCTATGCTACAGAAAAAAGACGAGAAGAAACTTAGAGCAAAGAATTACAATTGATTTTACATAATGTAGATTCATTTTTTCTAAATAAAAAAGAATAAAAATTCGTTGTAAAAGTATATTTTCAATATTGAAAAAATACTTGAGATTTTATTTATTATAGAATATTACTAAAATTCTACTACTATGTTTTAGAAATTCATAAGTAAAAATTTAAGGATTTCATAATTGACGTTAACTTTTTTCGTCATGAAACGTCACAAGTGAAAGTATTCGAAATGATCTTATTTTGATTACATGCAAAAAAGATTCAAAAGTGCAACATAAACTTGAACAATATATTCCTCAATTTCCAGCTTAAGATTATTTTTAAAAATATATTAAATTAGTTGTCTTACAAAAAATAAAATTGACTCTATCACGAAAAAAATCTCAAAAAAGAAAATACAAAAAATTTAGTATAAAATTGTTAATCATATCAGTTATATTCATCTGTTGAATTGTTCGATGCTTACGAATAGTTTGGGGCCAACTAGACATTGGTCGTTTGGATGTAAAAGAAGTTCTGATATGCATTATTCGTCTGCTCACAACTTTACCAATTGTACATATATGTATAGTATTTCATGAAGAATATACAACACCACTTCGATATTTAGTCAACATATTAAGAAGACAAAAAAAGCCATAATGAACTCGACTAAATGTAAATGCAATTTTCTCATTATTTAAATTTATACAAAATATTCATTCATATATCAAAAGATAAAGAATATCAATCTTTACAAAACTAAGAACTTCACCTTTTAAATCAACATTTCATCTTGGCACAACAATTCAAATATTTATATATCCATTATATTCCCACTGTGACGCATCTTATAAATAAAATGAAGCATAACATAAATATAATTAATGTTTCACTTAAAAGATATTTATTTTACAGTGGAAAAATATTTTCTTCTGAGTACTATTGCGTAAAGTCATTTTTTCAAGGATATTTTTCTCTGAGATTTTTCTTGCAAAGTATCAGATCAAACAAAACAATCGATAAATATTTTTTGAGGGATAAATATCATAGCTATTGTAGATCATTAAAATCAGTCTTCATTCATATTTTACATTCTTTAATTCACGTACTTTTCGTACGTCGTAACAATTCTAGTAATTGCGTCGTTCTATTGTTCTCTTTCTCTCTTTATAAATATAGAAGAAAATATTGTATCACTTGCTTTTTCCCTAGCAAACCAGCAACACATACAAATACACGAGCTTGATTTAGTTGAATTTTTAAATAAACCTCATCATCTACTTAAGAATAAAATTGATGTTTTCACAAAAATTTTATTTCCCGTTAAAAAAGATCAGTGATCAATTAATTATGATTGATAGACAAGCTGATGATGGATTTGTATCGAAATATTCAATAAATCAACACTTGTTACTACAGTAGTAAGTATTCTCACTAGTGACAAATTCGTTACAATTGATTTAAAAGTCTGTTTTATTTCAATGACTCAACAAAGTTTTCTATTTATTTATCTCGACATTTTTTCTAGTCGAAAGATGATTCAGATCCGGTTCGATTTCGTTTAGAAGCATCGTTATATGTTGATGAGAAATATGGTTGTCATAGGTAATATTTCAAATTTATTTCATTTCCAATAAAACAATTAGAACGTGTTGTTTTATTTCAGAATACAACATGTGAACGAACTTCAAACAAGATATGACAAAAAAATGTTCCTATTGAAAATAATTTCGGATAAACTGACTAAGGTTACAACATCATGTTGAAACATAAATTCCACATAGATAATCCACGGAAAAACCATTACTTGATCGATGAGCTTGCTAATGTAGCATTGCATGGTCAATGCAATTGAATTAGCATGGGCTGGTTTGAAGAATTATGTACGTGAGAAAAATGTAAACTTTAGTTTCGGCGATGTTCGACGTTTGACTCATCAATGAATGGCATGACAGCTTTGAACAGAGTAACCGCCGCTGACTATATCAATGAAACATGCAGGATCGAAGAGATCCGATCGATTCACCGAAGAAATCAAGGAACAATTAGGAGACGAGAAGGAAGAAGTTGATTCAGAGATAGAAGAAATGATCGATTGACACCATATGTTGTTGTTATATTTTTCTTTCTTCTGTTTATCATAAAAAGAAATGAAGTCTAAAATGTAGAACTTACAGTCATAAGTATTCTTCGAGAAAAGGGTGTATACATATATATTCGACTTTACGACGAAATAATATATGAAAACAATATCGTACAATCGTTACTAGTAATGTTATAGGAGAAAAAGAATTTTTGTGTAGTAAAACAAGCATTACCAATCGACCCACCACGATCGACAACAATTCAGAATTCATTTTATTTCTATGGAACAACTTTCTATTCTTTCAAGATAACTATGAAACACTACTGACTCATGAACTAAATGTCAACAATTTTATATGAGTAGAGGCGCTGACAAAGCCACTTTCAAACAACACAAGCTCGAACTCAATAGGTGGTTGCCGTGAAAAGTTATTAAAAAAAATACCCACCCGCCTTCTTTTTTTGAAATGGGTATTAGTTTCCATCAAACTATAAAATATCTTTATTCTAATTAGCAGACAAGTATATTTTTGCTATGATCAATTCTGCAAGAATTTTTCTCAAATCAATCATAATTTTGGTCGATTTTCATTCATAATATCGAGCAGAATAGATCTACTTGAGCTTCTTTGATTTATTAAGAATTTGTCAAAATTGTAACGAAAACTAACCATTTCTGAACACGCATTTTTATTTTACTGTAAAAAAAGAAGCTTCGTTAACATCTAATGAAGAAGTCGAATCGGTTAGTACCGAGACAATGAATACTAAGTAGTGCCAGTATCTATTTTTAAAAATGAGTCGTGAATAAATAATTATAACGCAGTAAATAATATTGTATTTAAAATCTAAGGTTACGACTACAAACAAAGTCTAGTCAAAAAACTCTCATCAAAATTTAATTATTTGTATCAAATCAAATACATATATTGTGTGCTACCAGTCTACAGACATGCGAGTATAACGAACATGATATGTATTATTAGCAATATCTGAACTTGTCCTAATAGTGATTCATCACCTACCGTATACTTTAGATCGGAATAAAAGTTTCAATATCTTCTTATGAAAATGGTTACATGATTAGATTAATAATATACAAGTCGTAATTGACTTTTCGAAAAATATTTCAGTCCAATTGACACTATTTTTATCACTATATGTTTTGTTGATGTGAATAAAAATCATATCATAAGTTCCTCAAAAACTACATTGAAATATTCATATTATTCTTTAGACATTTACAAAAAAGTAACAATAGCAACAACAACAAGACGTAGATTAATTGAATAAGAAAAAAAGCTATTTCAATGATTACCAAAAATTTGGATCATCAATAATTCCAAGTTTATTTCCTAATCGTCGAAATTTAGCTCGTACTTCTTCTTGCATTAAATTAAAACACATTGCCATTAATGATAAACCAAATAATACATAGAGAGCACATATAACAAGTTTACCTTCAACTTGCGTTGATGTTATTGATTTTCCTGGCACAAAATCACCTAAAAATAAAAATTTTCATTTATCATTCATCGATTTTTTTTTTGTATTAAAGAAATGTAACCTAAACCAATTGTTGCAAGTGTAACAAAACAAAAATAAGCTCCATCTAAAAACTTCCAATTTTCCCATTCACTAAAAAGTACAGCTCCCAGTATTAAATATGATGTCAATAATGATAACGTAATACTAATAGGTATTGTTGTTTTACGATAATCAATAATAAAATTATCAACAAATTCAACAACATTTGTTGATGGTTTATTTTCAATATTATTTGAAGATACTATTGGAAGATTATTTGGTGCTAATGTTGTCACTATTGGAGATGATGAAAGTGATGGTGATGTATTGTGTGATAATTCAACAGATTGTAATGCACGAAGATTGCGACGTTTTTTTATCATATTGCAATATGAACAACATACATTACAATAAATAAAACGAAATGCATCAGCCATAGTTGAACCAATATTTGCTAAGCATAATAACATTAACGGAATACCAAATATAGCATAGATCATTGTCATTATTTTTCCATAATTAGTTTTGCTAAAATACAAGAAATAATATTTTTATATTCATTTCATGTTCTTATTTAATTCTATAAGAGAGTAAAGAAAACAAAACTACATAAACTTCATATGTCTTTTCAACTAACAAAATTCGAAGAGTATATGAATTTTTTTGGGATCCTCTCGACTGGTCCCCCTTGCCAATTATCCCAACTGGTCCCCCCTTAATTGACTCTCAATTCGTCCCCAACAAAATTCGTTCCTAGTTGATTGATTCTCAATTCGTCCCCTCAAT